AAACTCCATTACTGCCATTAAGGTGGTCCGTTTTTCTCTGAAGCCATATTGATCTTCACTTAATAGCATGTGTTTATGAAGTTATCAAGTCTGCAAGAAAATAATTTTTCTAATATTTTTGAAAATTATGGTAGCAGTGATATTGGTCTATAATTTGTAAAAATTTGTCTCTCTCCACTTTTAAAAATTGGAATGACTTTAGCTGTTTTCATTTTTGATGTTTTATCTACATATATTGCAACTCCCCCTCCTTTTTTGTCTTCCCTATGAGTTGCATACATTTCATATCCATCAAATCATTTCACTTGTTTTTTCATCATCAAGCCAAGTTTCTGATATTGCAATTATTGTAAATTTATTAAATGTAGTCAAATATTCTTCGATTTTGGTGAAATTTTTATAAAGACTTCTACTATTTATGTGTATCACTGAAAACGTATTTTTCAGTTCGACATTTGTGTTGAATTGTTCGTCCGTATAATACTCGGAGTTTGTGATGCTGTAATTATGATTGAAGAAATTATTGTCTGGATCCAAGTTGTTCTCTGGGTCGAATGTCTTGTGTTCAGCATAATCAAAGATTTTAAAGTCCATGTTTGTGTTGTAGGTTTCCGATATCAATTAAGTCAAAGTTTATGTCTGGAGGTAATCAGCTCTCAGCATGTTGAAGTCGAGCCCGTTGAATTGGAGTACTGGTGCGGGGGTGGACGATGAGTTTGTCGTGCCTCAAGTAGGCAATTTCCCCTCTTTCACGTGCTGCTTTTAGTTTTGGAAGCGATACTTTTCTTTTTTGATGTACAATATCTGCATAATCTTCATTAATGTAGATTTTGGTACCTTTTAAGTATTTTGCTCTCTGTAGTATCATTGTTTTGTCCTTATATTTTTCAAATTTCACCACTACTGGCCTTGGTCGAGGTCTTCCCGATTCGTGTCTCCCCGTGCGGTGGGCTCTTTCCACCTCAATTGTCTCCTTTAATTGCAGTTGATCCTTGAAGATTTTTTGTACTTTTTGCTCCGTTTCAGTCCACGTTTCTCCTTGCATTTCTTCAATTCCATATTCCATCGATTATCAAGTTATTTCTTTTAGATAGTCCCTCTAAGTTGTCCATCTTGTCGGTTCAAACCAGCATACTGTCACATACTTTGAAGATTTCAGTTTGCATGGTTTTGCAATGGTCAGATCCATTCGTTTGTTGTTTTTTAATGTCATCGACCTCCTTTTGGGTGAAATTAAGACTAGTTTTCAGTTCATGTACTTCCCTGGAAAAACAGTTGAGTCGTGACTTTGTTGAGTCCAGTATCATCTTTACAAATCCTTT